TAGGGCTGATGGTCAATCACTGCCTTATCTGCTTCTACAGTAGCTTTCTTTCCACCCCCTTTTGTAACTTACTAGTAAGATAGAATCCAACAATTGCTCCAGCCAGTCTCTTAAACCTTTTCATTCCATTCTGTAGAAACAGAGCAATGTTAAGTCAGGTAACCTTTTCATATAGAAACTAGTAACATTGTGCTTTTAAAATGTCTTAGTAGCAGAGCTAATGGGATGAAATGACATGAAATCTGTTGAATTAAGGAATCTAAAGCAGTTCTTTGAGCAATAATTTTAAGTGCAGTAGCATTTTAGGATTCCAAAGTATTTGAAATATGGCACATGTGATGTAGCTTACTGTATGTGGGGTGTATTTTTTCCCTTACAAACAATACGTTTGTAACTTCGGTATTAAATGTAGAAAAACCAGTTTTTGCATCTCACACATTTTGTTACAACTATCTTTTCCTTAACTGTGATTAAACATTTGCTTCAGAAAATACCAGTTTGTTTGTACTCTTTGAATACACAGTGCTCCTGTCATTGAGCTGTTCTTATGTGCTGATGTGAACACAATAAAGATTAAAATTTGTGACTCCCAATGTTGTCAGCATTTCTTGGTTATCAGGGATATTTTTATGTGATCTGTAACTACTATAAAAATGACATTGCACTTGACATTTAAGTTATATTACTTTATACTGATCAATTAGATTGTATGGAGGTTTGGCTGGGGATATAAGAGAAGAAAGATATCTGAAAAGGAAATCGTTTGTTTTAAAATTGCTTTATATCTATTATGGGCAAGATCATATCTTCTTGAATTACGGTAATCAAGCATCCTGTGGCCCCCTTGCTTCTTTGGACATTCATTAAGCTTTTGAGACAGAAATATGTGTTGGCAATGACAAACATGAAGTCTGATAAGACGTTTGTGCAACTAGTGTGTATACACACACGTGTATATGATAAGCCTCTTTATGGGAACATTCATACCCAGTAAATACATTTGCTGATGAATCTTTCTGTTAACTAAATAAACATTGTGTGTTAAAGTTGTAGTCCTCGTTTAACAATCATTTGAAGTTACAGTGGCAATGAATGAATGGTATTTACGTCCAGAACCCGAAATTACAGCCATTACAGCACCCCTATGTCACATATTCAAAATTTGGGCACTTGGCAGCCTGCCCCTCTTACAACAGCAGGGGTGCTTCACAGCAGCATACTCCCACCTCTCGAGTAGTGTGCACAGGCTCAGAAAGAAGGCCTAGCACAGACAGTTGTTTTCTTGCATAGTGTCAGCCCGTGCATACCTCATCGGCGGCAGGAGGAAGGTAGCCAAAGATCAGCAGGGCCTGCAGAGCACAAGGCCACAGGCCAGCTGGGCCTCTGGCCTCTGGCTACAGCTTGAGGAAGCACTCCCCAGCAATGTTACTGGGACTGAAGTAGAGACGGGGGCCGTGGTGCCTATCTGAGACTGCTGAAGCCACCAAGCCTATACTTCAGCCCCATCACTGCTGCCAAGGAATGCTGCTGTGCAGAGTGGTCAAAAGGGCATAGATGGTGGTGTTGGGGAGTTCAAGAGGAAGCAGTCCCTTGCCTTACCAAAACTCAGGGCTGGGAGGGACACCAAGCTGGGCATGACTTGGATCAGGACAATTCTCCTAATGGCTGGTGGAATTCAGTTAACAATATCGATAGGAATTGCTGGTGCTAAGTCACCGTTACCACCATGTTGCTTAACAATGGAAATTCCAGTCCCAATTACTGTCATTAGCTGAGGACTACCTATACTGTAGAGGCAGGATAACACAATAGCAAATAAATGTTGACACTTTATAATTCCAAGCAATTTATTCCATTTTACTGGTTAAAAATATCACTGGCTCAAGTGATAGACTAAAAATCATTTTTTTAAAAAAAAATAGAAACTACTGGTATTGTTAAGTAATTAGTGAAAACTATCATTACAATGCAAATAAGTGAAACAGGTTTTATGAGATTTGCTGCATTGCAAATAAGCATTTGCTAAGTTTTACTGTAGATTTGTTCTATGATGATTGCAACCTTTCTAACTTATAGTCAAGTTACATTACTAGATTTTTTTTTAAAAAAAAACCTTTTCCTGAAAAAGCTCAAAACATGGAATTTATTTGAACAGTAAAGAAGAGAGGAAAAGGCAATCTGACCTGAGAGCATTATGAACTGACTAGCTTTTATCTGAATGGCAAAAGCATTCTTTATTGATGAATCAGATTTCAGATGGTTAAAATAATCTGTAATATGAAGCTAATTTCTAATAGAAAATGCAGCCATTCCCAATATTCTTAGAAATAATAGAATGACATCTCCCGGAAATTTACCTCATGGCAAACCTGGAAGAGTTTAAGCAAATATTATAGTGTTACATAAACAGTTACAGCTAATATATTGAGATTGTTTGGCAGTTGCTTTGGTTTTTTTTTTAGTACTCTCTTCTTTAGCAGCTTCACCATAAGTACAAGATGTATAATAAGCCCTTTTTTAAAATGTTCCAGGTTGATTCCCAAGAGAATTTTTCGCCATTTGGCACATTGCTTTTTCATATGGTAGTAAAGCACAACCACTGTGGAAGAGAAGGAAGGAAAAACGTGTTATAAGCAACCTTAAACAAAACTATGGCAATTTAGATACAAATTTATCTGAATTATATTTTTTTCAAAACTAAAAGTCTCTGTAGAAAAATGCTTGAGTCACAAAGCAAACCTGACACTCTTACAAATTCTAGACAAATTTGACTAGCAGTCAGAAAATCTCTACATTTCATAAAAACCCCAAATCCTACATACGAATTCCTCTTATACTTACAAATGCTGATATTTTGCAGACTGTTAATTTTATACCATAGGTTAGCAATCTCTCATAATGCTTTCTGACTGGCTAGACTAGAAGGACTAATGGGGTCGAAGCTTTAAACATTATAGAGGATGCTAGGTTGCTTCCCCTTGCTAGGGGAAGTGTTAGTTTCTTAATCTATGAAAACTCTAAACATGGCTCAGGAGGGAGCCTGAGTACAATTTTTGACAGAGCGGTAACTTTCTAGTACAAAATGTTTGGGGAATGCAGCTAATAGCTGCACAATTAAGTTGCTCTTGAGCTCATAATATTTGCTTCATTCTTTGTCATCTACTCCTTTATATTCAAGTAGGATATATTTCTTGATACAACATAATGAATTATAGCATTTTAAGAGATTTGTGATGTTCAGGGTAATAGTATATATTGGGTTATGCATATTTTCAAGTTAAGAATACACAAGCTACATCCATGCTATCTAATAGTGTTATTTCCTCTCTGAATCTGCTGAATTGCTGCATTGTCTCTGGTGCATTTATGAACAAGACAGTGCTTAAATACCAGTCACAAAAACAAATTCATGCTTCTGTGTTTAGGGATGCAGAGGGGCTGAGTGGTTTCTATATCTGCCAAAGCATTGTTTTTATCAAGAAGAAAAATATGTGAAATATTAGTGAACAAGTTTGACTTATAGAGGATGGAGTGTAGTCCAGAATTATTTTAATTCACACAATGAGTTGTCTATTACTGTTTCATCACTTAAAACCTGTAAGCATTATCTGTTTATGGAATCTGTCTAGGCGAGCACAGAAAAAACATGAGCTTTTATGAGTTTCTCCGGTTTTCAAGGCTTAATTATGGCAGCCTGCTCTCCTGAGGCATAGCCTGTCATATGTCAGCCACAGCTGCATGGAAACTGCTATCTTAGTATTTTGCAAAATTTCCTACTGTCTTTTTTCTGTCCCTAACAACTTTAATGAGCACATAAAGAAACACTGCACATCTATGAACTAGATATTTAGTTAACAGAAGATTTCCAGTGCCTGATATATAAACAGAATATGTATACTCAAGGTTGTTTTAAACTAGCAAACACAAAAAGGAGCTTTTCCTCCAAAGTGACTTTGTTCCATTAGATTTTGACAGGCTTGCTAACTTACAGTGCCAAGGTTCATCTGTACTGTTCCTGTTTTCTCAGTATCCAGTTTCTTAAATATTTCTACAAGGGGATAAAAAAATGAGTTTGAATTAATAAAGTTCATCAGTTTCTCCCAGGAAAGAAAAAAGCAGCAAAAAGTATTTCATCAAGAGAAACAAGGAAGAAAATTACCACTCTTATTAGATCTGCCCCTAAAAGTCTATAATTAATCTAAGATGTGTAATTATGGGGATGTAAAGCATTGTTCCATTTTGTAAATAATTACAATCTGTTAGTTAAAGCTAGGAGATCAGTTTGTTTATTTTTACTAAGTGCCTTTATATTTTAAGAATTGTGCATAATCCACACATGTATTTTATTGCTACAAATCTTGATATGAGGAAACAGTTCATATTGCCTATCTGGAACTCAGTAAAGTTAAAAACTAAACAAAAGCATTAAGACTATCAACCTAAATTAAAGATACTCACTGAACAAAGTCTCCAGTCGAATCAAGCACCTAACAAAATTATCAAAATCAATGATCAGCTGCTCATCAGCAAAACGGGCCACAATGACTTGATGCAATTGGCAATCCAACTTAAATCCTGAAATACAAGTAAAATTCTAATTGCTACAGATGCATCCTTGGTGCAGCTGAATACAAAGCAAGAAGGAGCTGCTGTAAAAATGCTTTAAATTGTTTTAATATATTAAGGTAAACATTCTGATCACATAAGCAGAAGCTTGGATATTGCTACAAACCTTACCCAAGTGTTGGAATTGGTTTTTCCAGCCTTACCCAACTAGGTGTCCTCCAACTGCATGCAACCACTGGCATAGTGGGAGGTGTGGAGGTGATAAAAGAACAATCTGGAGGACATCCAGTTGGGGAAGGTAACTATGGGGTATTGCAACTTTTCAGGACCACATCTGGAAGCAGCTATGATGAGGGAAGCTATTTGTATTGGGCCTTAATCATTACAATGTCTTTGGTGATCTCTACTTTTGATTGAAAAGTACCTGCTTGCTCCAAGGCTTTCCGCATCTCATAGGAGTTCATGGTGCCAGAACGATCTACATCCATATCCCGATAAATTTGCTACAGAATGTAGAAAAAAGGATATTTTTTTCTATTAAAAATACTGAATTATCTGAAGGAAAAGAAAGCATATACATATAGTCCCTTTTATTTCCTCATTATTCATGCACGTTTCTTCTCCTGATAAAATAAGTGTTCTTTTTCTTCTGGAAAATTAATCTTGGGCCCTACAAGTTTAATGGAATAATATTTAAGTCAGTATTTCTCAACCCTGGCAGCTTGAACATGTGTGGACTTCAACTCCCAGAATTCCCCAGCAAGCAAGAACAAATGAACAAGTTGCACTTTCTACTATAAAAGCCGAGGCTAGTTAAGTTTCATGCACTCAGAGCAACAATGTATCTTGCTTGGTATCAATGACACTTGGAACCAGGAAACCCGTCCAACCTACACAATCTAAGTTGCTAGAGTATATTTTAAACAATCAAAATTACCCACATTAATTTATTTAAAGGTCACTTTTACCTGGTATTTCTGAATCTTTGTCCAAAGTATGTGGAATTCTTTCAGCCCTAGCTTACCACTTCCATCAGTCTGCTTGGTTAAAGAAACTTCCAATTTAAACAGAAAAAAATAATCCAAATTTCTTTCACTGTTCGGAGTTTTCTTTGGCTACATTTCTCCCACATCAGTCTACAGGGTAGAATCTTAGTTCCTACTAATTTACTACCTTCTACTAAACACTTGCTACTTTTGTAGAAAGAAACCTATTCTTAGGCATGTGATAGACACCTGTTCTTTATATGTAACCATTTTGTTACTTCCTATATTTCAGGGGTGGGCATCTTTGGAGGAGGTAGGAGTAGAGGGTACAAAGTGGATATGGATGTATCAAATGTGCACCAATAGTTGGGGTGTTCTTTGTATTTATGCATTGGTATTTTTGTATTTTTATTTTTGCATCAAGACATCAGATTCGAAGTTACAATTATTTTTTTACGGTGGTCATTAAGCAAATCCATTTTCTCCAACTAGTATTTTTTTACCAGAAACTATAAGTAAATGCCTAGAAACCAGCAAAAATTGAAAATTACAGTCATATTACTACAAGACGCTACAAACGGACGTTTGCTGGGGACCTAACTGCCAAGGGCCCAAAATGCAATTGTATGGCTGGGGGGGGGGGGGCAAATGTTATAAGTCTGAAAACAGAGTTTTCTAAGTAGCTCTGGACAGATCCATTGTAACTTCAAACAATTGTTAAGCAATCAGTTGTAAGTCATAAACTACCTATATAATGTAGTAGTTGATCTGTTTTATCTTATATTATTGTTTCATTGCATGTTTATCTAATACCATATATATTCATACTCAGTTACAAAATGTCAATGGTTAAAAAAAATCCTTCTTCAAGGAACATTAATCAAACATTTGATATTGGAGAAGGACGAGGAGGGGAAAAGACAATTATAGTAGAGTAAGAATGCAAAAAAAAAGGAGCCATATGAATTTATGCTTGGAAAAGAAAAATTAAGTCAGCTTTTCCTAACTTGATATATAAGCCTGGGAGTTAAGAAGGCTTATACATTTGTTTCAGGAAGATGTTCCAAACATGTCATGAAGCAAGTGACATTCTGCATTAGAGGCAGAAGATCTTGGGTAGCTGAGGTAGAACTATAGCACAGAAACTCTGCAGGATGGGTTGTGTGGGAGAACAATACAATGGAACTCCAGAAAGAACTTTGATGTTATTAGGCATGCCAAATTTGGGCTTCTAAAGTCCAGTCCACTAGCAGATGGTGGCATGTTACCATTTTCTATATTTTGTTACTGCCAACTAATGACAATTTTTCAGCTCAGGTAGGGTTTGCCTGATTTAAGCTTTATATGTGGTATAGGCAAAAATATTCTTTGCACATGTGAATAAAGGCAGAGGTATAATAACTAGCTGCATCCTTCTTTGTTTATGAATATACAAAGAAGGAATTAGGATCATACTCATGTTACATATAGCTTAGCACTATCATTTGGATAATTTGGTAGCCTAAGATCTTCTATCGTTGCTATCAAACATATTTTTAATGCACATGCTAGCTATAGATATGTCACCATTCAATTTAAATATTTATTACATTTACATCCCACCACAATCTGAACTGAATCTTGGCAGTTCAACATGGAATATCTCCTACTGGGTATGCCTTTCTCAGACAAACACTATCTGGTAAAATAAAGAAACTACGATCAGCATGTTTCCGTCCATTTATCCAAGGGATGAGTTGCAGCATACATCTATTAAATACAGAAGAAATTAACTATGAGAAGGATTTCATTAACTAGAACACTCAAAAAGCACACTATAAACATTTGACCATTTTCTTACCAAGTTCATCTTCCTCATTCTGTTTTAATGACCATCCATAATTCTGCTGCCCCCACTTTTCCCTACTAGAGCCTTAAACAGAAAATATACAACTGAAGGATACATCTAATAAATCAACCATAATTTTGCAAGTTTCCATACTAAAGCCATCAGATTTAATATCTTGACCTGCAAAGAAAAACAGCAAATTTGTTACACATAGAAATCTTTTACTAAGCCTTTAAAAGCTTTCGCTACTCTTGCATTTATTCTATTCATCTAGCTCTATTTCATTTTTTAAAAAGCTAATTTTAAGCACTGATAACTTCCCTCCCTTGCCCACACTGCAGGTTCTCTTGGTCTTTTATTGCACTAATAAATTCACAGCCATTAAAGAATAAGGCTTTTTCAAGCCCAAAGTCATCTCCTTTGCTTGCAAAAATTTTAAAGGTTTTCTTCCATAAAGTTTAATGGATGGGCTTTATTTATGTTGCTTTTTTCTACATGTGATGAAACTGGTTTAGATTGAATATACAATTCAATTAATAGCAAAGAAAAAAATAAAGTTGCCACACCAAGAGAATGTTTTAACAATATCACTTAAAATGCCTGAAAAAAGAGCTTTTACCTACAATGAAATAACAATAAAGTATTAGATGATCTTCTTGTAAGAAGTACTTCACAATCATTAACATGACTGAGAAATTCTAAAATCTACTATTATCTGGCCTACAAAAAAATGGGCAATGACAAGATGGCAGCAAAAAACCAGAGATATCTTTCACTCTATTCTTGCATTTAAAGATTATCCAGATATTTTGCTTCTTAGCTATGGTAACCCTAAGAAGTCTCATTTCTGATTATCAGTCCTTACAATTATGACAATGAGCCAAAAAAGTCACATACTCAGCAAAAAGGGCAGGATCAGCTATAACTACTTCTGTATAAAGTTGTACCAACAAATTCAGACATATGAAGCTCAAATAACACGGTAAAATTGACAGTTCATCCAGTATTAAAATCAAAAGGGAAAAGAAATAAGTGTTTTGATTCACTGAATCAAATCCCATGGAAGTGCAGAACTTTGGAGATGCTTTAGTACTTCAAGAAATGTACAAATAAATGTTGAGTTTATTCAGAAGGGTCAAACATGGGTTAAAATGCATTGTTTTTCAGTAGCAAAGTTATGTCCAACTTTTAGTGGCCCTATGGACCATAGCATGCCAGCTCTCCTATCCTGTGCTGTCTCCCTGCCGAAAATCATGCCCACTGTGTTGATGACACTATCTAACCATCTCATCCTCCACCGTCCCCTTCTCCTTTTGCCTTCATCAGGGTCTTTTCCAATGAGTCCTTTCTTCTTATTTGGTGTCCAAAGTATTTGAGCTTCAGCTTCAGTAAATGTCCTTCTAGAGAAAAGTCAGGGTTGATTTCCTTAGGATTGATTGATTTGATCTCCTTGCAGTCCAAGGACTCTCAATAGTCTTCTCCAACACCACAGTTTGAAAGCATCAATTATTCGGCACTTAGCCTTCCTTGTGGTCCAGCTCTCACAGCCATACATTACTACTGGGAAGACCATGCATAGCCTATCCAATTTATTTAGCTGGCTTCCTATGAAAATAAAATATCCTCAAAAATGACTTCTTTTTTCTCTCACAGTACAGAATTGATCCAAGGGCATAGGAATTGGATATCTAATCAGGCCCATATTCACATTTTCGGATGCTCTGGATTTCCTTTGCTCTTAAGCATCTAAGTAGAAGCTGTTTCTGGCCTTGTGAACTCATTCATAACCACTGATAGCATGTTTTCAAGCTAATTTTTCTCCAGCTTATTCATCCCCCAGAATTCTGGGGTTTCAGTCCAATAATACAGGGGTTAATGGGAATTACAGTACAGATTCTGTGGAGAACACTCAGCCAGGCAAGGTTAAAGCAAGAAAGGGAAGAAGGAAATGCTTACGTTTTGCTAAGATTTTTTTCAGAATATTACACAGTTCAAAGGCTGAGATCTCAGCATCCTGGTAAAAGGTGAAATAAAGATAGCATTAAGGACACATGTATTAAATATTGTTTCTGAAACTAATTGTTTTTATCAAGCCATATTCTGCAGCGGCATTTTATAATCTTACTTCAGCCATAGATTGCCCAGAGAGTTGTGTATTTTTCCCCATGGAACATTAATTTACTCACCTCTCCAGCTAATTGCTTAAATAATTTCTTAAAATTGGGTTCAATTTCATCTTCAGTGAGTTCTTTCTAGGAAAGAAAAGAATTGCCAAGGCAAGTGAAATAAAATTTTAAAAGCTTCTGCTATAGAATTTGCTATTTCATAAAGAAGAAAATATGCCTTAAATGCATTTAGCATATCTTTTGTTTTGCCTCTGAGCATGCCTGTTCTTTAACATTGCTATTTCTATGTCTTCTTGAAGGGTGAAAGTTTTATGAGTCAGCTTTCAGTGTAACACTCAGAATTAGATTTTATAAGCCAGACTAATATGGAGTGCTACTTGGTCTTCCTCTTGATTCCATCAACATTTGGCTACTCTATCAGAAGCAAGCGTTTCTGCCGTTTGATCAGTGTTCAGAGGTACAACAAACTTGAACACAAAATGTTCACAAAGCTGCCCATCCCACCTGATATACTGATATACCAAATATACTGAGATATGGTATAAGTAGACCAGACAAGAGACATAAGACAATTCTCAGAATTCCCAGCCAGTATGACCAACTGGGAATCCTGGCTTATGCAGCCTGAGTGCAGTCAAAACAAGTATTCCTATTAGCTAACATACCTCTTCAATATTGGCCTCAATTTCATCATCAATAACTCTACAAATAAACATAGTTAGATGAGTTAACACAAAAAAGATTATGATTGACTTTCAGATAGGAAGAGGAACACAACTGGGGCAGGGTGAATCTATGCATGCACTGAGCCATCTGTGGAAAAGTATTTTGAGAGCTATCCACAGAAAAGGCACATACTGTAACATTGCCATTTTTAGTTATCTAATCACAAAAAAATCCTAAAACAGTTTTTTTTATATAAAAAAAATAAAGATGACAAAATAAAGAAATGGATGGACAAATATTCTTATACATAGCTATGTGATTTGTGGCTTTCAGTGGACACAAGAATTTGTACACAATGACTTTGAAGAATCTACACTATTCAGAAATGATTACAAAAACAAAAGCATCTCTTAAGCTTGGGGACCAGAGAAAGCACTAGAAAGAAGTTTAGTGCAACAGTCAGGCCTTCAAGACTCTGTATGTTCCGCCCCTTTCAACAAAGTACACTTCCATTCAAACCTCTTGGCTTGGTCTACTTCAAAAGGCTAATATATACACTCTGAGGAAGGGTGTCCCTAAATTTTGGGTGGAGGTAGTGATAGATATATTTGGAATTTTGGAAGTATATTCCAGAGATGCCCTCAAATATGGGCATGCCAAGTCCCAGAAGTTGAACTAGTGAGATTGACTATCTTCACACCTCCTCCCTAGCTTCCCAGGATGCTTTCTACCGTCTTTGCTTTTTTTTTTTCAGGGCACTGAACTGTAGCCATACAGTGTTTGGCTACTTCTAGGATCTTTGCGAGACCAATGACATTATTGGAATAGAGATCAAACTCAATGCTAATATTTTGTCTCAAGCACGTTGGCTTCTTTAATTTTGAATCTAAAGAATAAATAAAACATACTAATACATACATACATACATACATACATAATTAAAAGTCAGAAAGGCAGTCCATCATTTCTTATTATTAAAGAAATAAATGATAGCAGAAGATGGGTGTGTGTTTTAATTTTGGAATGCCTTCCTTTCAGAAATGCATCAAGTGCCCATTTCACTGGCATTTTGGCACCAGTTTTTATATCTAGTCTTTAGTGCTTATTATATTGAACATAGCTGTACTTGATGCTGCTTGTGGATGAATTGCTTTGTCTCTTAACAGACCTTTAATTAATCTTATGGTATTTTACTATTGTGGTATCTCTCACTCAGGGATTTTCATGAAGGGGAAGGACAAATAATACTTAGCATTTAAAAATATATATTTCAATGGTTTATTTCAAATATATAGTGGATCTTGGTTTAGCTTTTTTACTTTGTTTTTCTCACTTATCTTCATCAGCAATTATAGTGTCATTGTTTTGGATTTGAAATCTCTGGTGATATTCCTCCTATTTCCAATTCATAACCAATATAAAAACAGGATATTGTAAGAAATTATAAAAAAAATCTGAGCCCTACAGAAGTAAAGTTAAATATAGGCTCATTGTTAGCTTCATGACCATAGCTCAGTTCTGAGAAGCTTCCTTTAAGCTTCCCCTATAGACCTTCAGTTATCCAATGGATGCCTCACAATACCCCTCCTTTGTTTCCTTATTTCACAGTACTTTCATATCTATGGATTCCACTGATACAGAAGACAGAGAAGGTAGATTAGTGAATGCCTGACATACTGTGAGTCAGCTTTTTTTTCAGAGAAAACCCTGAGGCAGAAGTCCCCATTCTTGTTGGGTTCAAAGGTGGATGGCACAATAATATATTCTCCTGGGGGAAGCTTGAATCGATTTAACACCTCCCGAAGATTGATGAATGTGTTGGATCGTTCCCTTGCTCGGTTTGTGAGAAAGTAGTTTTTGCTCAGGTGGACCTTTTTTGGGCCAGAAGACTTCATGAAAGGAAAGGAAAAAACAGAAATTATTATTCTTAAGCTACCAGAATCCTATTCAGATAACTATGTTAATAGAGCAATATAACATTAGCCCATCAGAAGATGAAGCTACATTCTGTCAATCTTCATGACAGGAGAGTTATCGAGAATCCAGAATATCTACATCTACAAAAAATCAAAAGCCAAGATAACAGTCTCTACGGCTCTGTGTGCGGGAGGAATAATGGTGGTAGTAAATTTACAGACACTCCCAAAATTGCACTGCAAACCAAAATTGGTGTTTTAAATATCTGATTCTTACTTTAGCCACAGATTGTTTTTGAACAATGCAAAAGTTTTCAAAAATGAAAAGTCTCAATGTTTTTTTTTTCCTAAAATAAGAAAACTGAACTTGCCCAGGTTGAATTTCTGTTATGGATCATTGTTTGTAAAAGATCATGAAGAACAACACTTCCACAATTAAAACAGTACATACAATTCTGTAGTTTTAACATTGAGAGGCCTTTTTAAATACAATGTTTAGTTAAAATATGTCTTCTGTTTTACAAAAACATATACACCACATACCTGTTCAGGCACCTGTGGAAGAGCAAAAAGAAAAACAAATTATATACTTTTTATTAATAACACTGAACAATGATCCTTCCCAGGAAGTAGTTTCTTAGCCATTGCTCTAACCTTATGGAATACCCTCCCGTAGAATTAAAATACCTTTCACATTTCTAGAAGCTACTTCAGATAGAACTCTTCCACACAGCATTTGGTGACTAATTACTTGTTTCCATTTCTTAATTTCAATTGAACTTTGTATTTTCGTGGTCTAATACTGGTTATAATTTTGATTTTAATTATACTCACCATAGACATTTTTATTGGTTGTGAGGTGCTTTTTTTTTTTTTTTGACTAAATAATAGTAAACTGTTCTATTTACTGATTTGGAGGCATATAGTTTGAAGGAAGGAAGGAAGGAAGGAAGGAAGGAATTAACGTCATGGTTCAAATTTTACTAGAACTGTTTTGACATTTATTTTTTACCAGGCTCTGCTCTATAGGGATCCCCAAATCCTTTGAGCCCACAAATGCATTTGGAATTGAAAACTACTGTCATAAAAAGCAGAGTTATGATTGACTACAAAGGACAAATAAAAATGACTAGAAGAGTTGAGAGACTCAAATATCTAATGGAGCATAACATGCATTGATTTTACACAGGTAAAAATTTAAAAGATTGAGTCCCAGCAAAGATGGATTCAGCCCAAATTCTAGAACGTCCAGACTCATCTTATATAAAGTTATTCCCCTATTTCCCAAATCTGATACTTGGTATCTCACATGCATGCAAGCCCCCAACTGGCCCAAGATGAGGTTTCAGAGAAAAAGAAGCCCACCCAATCTTGTTTGTTTAGCTCCTGTGAGATTTCCCAAGTAGTAATCTGTTTCTTAGAATGGAAAAGATTCTCCACCTTTGTATAAATCACCATTTCATGCAACTGTTTTAATGAACGTACACTTATGGTAAAAAAGAGGAGCCATGTAATTAATTTGTGAGGAATGCGTGAATCTTTAACATTGCAATTCATTAATAAGGTATTCCTGAATGTGTCATTCTGTAGCTAGAAAATAGTGATCTATTATCTTTATCTCAAAATTTGGTTTAACAGAAAAAAAAGAGCCTGCCTCATAGATTGCAAAGCCAATTGTGTGCATATCCTCTCCCATCTTCCTCTGCTTCCGACGGTGTTTCTGAATCAAACCAACCAAGAAGGTACAACCTCTTTCTGGGTCATCTGGATCCTCATCTTCTTCCTTAAGTTTAATCAAATATTGTGGGTTCATCCAAAACGTATCTAATTAAAAGAAAGGAAGTCATTAAAATTATGCCCAGGCTCTATTGATTTTCATAAGGAATTGTGGCTTGGAAAGATACAACCTTACACATTTTAGAGTGGTGTGCTCATTTTAAGCGTACTTATAAAAGTATGCCTACAATCAAACTTTAGAATGATTTTCTCGCAGATGAGGGATGTGGATATCTTCTTTTAAATAATTAAATTCCAGTGCAAGTTGTAAATGAATGTCATGTTTGGTATTGGACTATAAATAAATATTGACTGATTGAATGGAAGTAATTATAAACTAAATTCATGTAAATAGATCAAAGAGAGAAGCAACCTGGAATTAAGGAGAAAATTCCTAACAGTGAGCACAATTAACTAGTGGAACAGCTTGCCTTCAGAAATTGTGGGCACTCCCTCACTGGAGGTTTTTAAGAAGAGACTGGACAGTCATTTGTCTGAGATGGTATAGGTTCTCCTGCTTGAGCGGGGGACCAACTAGAAGGCCTCCAAGGTTTTCTCTTCTCTTCTCTCTTCTTTTCTATTCTATTCCAGAGCCTGTTTTCCGTTTATCAAAGCAATCTCAGCAAAAAAATAATTTAACTGATAGACCTTTGCCCATATGTGACATCATATTAAAACTACCCACTATTAGGGAGGGATTTATTGGCCATAAAGCACTCATTCTGGGTCTGTCATTATTTCAAACAGTAGTTAGGCAACCAGTTGTAAGTCAAAGACTACTCATAGGCAATTCTATTATTCACCGATTATTAGGAAGATACAATAGAACAGATATGGATATGAAGGCAAGCACAGGCTGAAAAATGACTTACCAGGATAATTTCGGCATCCACCAGCCGTGGAACCTTTTCTCCAGTTTCCATCCATCAAGTTCAACCTCCATTTTTTATACATGTCAGTAGTTAGAGTGTCTGGAGTCAAATTACAGATCTCAAGACGAGAGTAATGCCTCAGGAAATCACTCAATGACATCCTATGGAGTAATACCATAAATACCATACTTAGAAAAGGCATTTCAGACAAGCTTCCTCCCTTCTGCTGTTGCAGCTTCAAAGAAAACCAAGAACAATTATTAATCACTATGACAGCAAGCCTTCTTGACAAGGTATCATGCCTCAAGATATGTTACATTTCAATTCCCATCTTTCTTTCTAGAAAGACACCTCAACATAATGAACAGCTATTTCCCACCCCCATCATTGAAATGAAACATTTCTTCTACAAATTTTCTTCTATATATTCTGATCCCCTATGGCCCCCATATAGTGATATGGACCAGAACTTAATATGCTTATTTCCATCTGAATCTATCTAATATATCTCTGTTATAGTTTGACGAAATATAGTGATATGACAACTTATTTAAGCATTATAGATAAGATTATATACTGTTCTTCTTTCCCAATTCCTAGGAAGTCACCAGCCATACCAAAACTCTCCATCTTCATGCTGCCTGGTCAGTCTCTCTCTCACTTTTGGATCAATACCATTCCAGTTTGGACACCTAAATACAGGAAGCCAACATTAATGTTAGACTCAAAATTATGGATTATAACTGTATTATCCTGGAGGGCCCCAACAACATGGTTCAAGAGAATCTGATCTCATAATGTTTGCATTTGCTGGCATAGTCTGCTTCTACCTCAAGATACATATTTACCCCTGTCAACCTGTGAGAGATGACCAGGGTGGAATGGGACAACTCACCATAGCCAACTTTCCACGGTCAACTTGTCATGGTCAATTCACTACGGCCAACTTACTGTGGCCAACTCTCTGTGGGACAACTTGTTATGTCCAACTTGCTATGGGACAACTCATAGTGGGACAATTCAACAATTCAATTTAATTATTTAAAATAATTAAAAAAATATTTTTGGCATTCACATTTTATTTTGGCATCCTTTCTTTAATGATTCTATTTGACTAATTCTTCAATATTAGTGTAACTCTTTTCCCGCAGCAAGTTATTTTGTTAAGTTCATGCAAAATAACTCAGGGATACTTTATTTAAAAATTACCCTCTGTAACAGTTGACTGGGTTTTCATGACATATTAACTCCACATGTGCCCAGTTATGTTTATCATAGGAAATATTTTGGATGATCATAATGGTCATTATAGCTTTTGTTTTGTTTTGTTTTGTTTTGAAAGATACAACTAAAATTGACTTGTTAAATTAATCTTAGAGGTCAGTTACAAGACATAAGGGCAAATAAACCTGAAATATTATGTATGCAGTAAAATGCACCCTGTCCATAGTACAGTTCTACAAGTATATTATTCACAATCTGGAAAAATATAAAAGTTATATCATCAATACATAAAAGGACTAGAAATAGAAAATGAAGATATAGAAAAGATGTGTATTTAGCAGTAAAAAAGGTGCATGTTGTCCAAAGGAGAAGAGAAGTATTTAATTCACCCCCTTTACTGAAAAAGGGGAAATTATTTTAAATTATAAGTCAATGCCTTGAAAAAAAAAACCTTAGCTAAATAGGGAAATAGGAACAAGAAGTTATCATAGAGCCATCTTGAACAAGGAAAACTAAAATTAAAAGTTAAGTTTTTAAGTTATGTTTTATATGTCAGTGGGAGAATAATTTGTTCAGAATGAAAAAGGTAGACTTGATGTCCTTCTGTTTGGCGATCTTGCCTTGAGATTTCAATTGTTTATTTAAAGTGAATAACACTAATCCAAAAATGGAAAAAGCAGCAGGCTTGAAAATTGACCTGACAGAGTTTATTTTTGTAAAAACAAGGTAGAGATTTATTAAAGACTATTGTTTCCCTCAGTCTAGTGAACTGTAGACAGTACATCTAATAAAGACCACATCACTGAACTCATCTAGGTGTTTCCTTCTATTTGACATCTCAGACGTTCTGCCAGTGTCTATCTTCAGAAAGTTGAATACTCACATTTGAGTTTTGCACAATACAGATAGTCCCCAACTTAAAACAGTACATTTAGTGACTGTTCAAAGTTACAACGGCCCTGAAAAAAGTAACATATGATCATTTTACAACCACTGCAGCCTCCCCATGGTCGTGTGATCAAAATTCAGACAGTTAGCAATTAACAATCATATTTATGACAATTGCAATCCCGGGATCATGTTCTCAGTTTCTGCGACTTTCTCACAAGCAAAGTCAATGGGGAAGCCAGATTCACTTAACAACCTTGTTACTAACAACTGCAGTGATTCACTTAACAATTGTGACAAGAAAGGTTGTAAAATGGGGCAAAACTCACTTAATAAGCCTCTTGCTTAGCAACATATATTTTGGGCTCAATTGTGGTTGTAAGTCGAGGACTACCTGTACAATACTTTATTTAAAGTACCTGCTGATGCACAAAATTAACTATATTCCATTTCCTCCCCCCCATCCTTCATTAAAGCCAACAGAACTTTCCTATAACTTTGGCAGATGATGGAAGGAGCAACTAGACAGATAATTCATAATGTAAAAATGCATCCATGCTTGGGGCCAAAGCTGAAGGAGCAGCAGCTATGATAGGAAAGTAAAAGAGCATCTTTCCCCCATTGCTAGTTGGAGGAGGCTATATTAAAAGCTAAAAAAATCCATAACTTTTTATGAATGAGGATTATGTACCTCACCAAAAGAGAAGATATCCCAGTAAAGTGTTATAGAAAACACATGGAATTTGGGTCAATAGTTTCCAGCATGCTGTCAAGGAAATTTAAAGTTTTTTAATAATTCATGGTGCAAACATCATGTGACAGATTTGCTCACACTGGGCAGCAAATAGCTCTGGCCCACACATTTAACACTCACTTATCATTCCATTTTCCGGTCCATTCAACTTCTCCCCAGGGATTTCGGATCCGGATCAGTTTCTGCATGCTGCCTCGGAAATTCACCTGGTAGGACCAGAAGAAAAAAAATCAAGCTACTAATAGACAGAGTAACTGAAAAAGGAAACAAAGTATTTTAAATTTTTTGGCTACAAACACACACACATACATGCACATAGATGTACCTATTTATACAGTGTATATATATATATATATATATATATATATATATATATATATATATATATATATATATATATATATATACTGTATATACAGCCAAGCTCCCACCCAATCAGTTCATACCCCCACTGGCAGTTAAAAGGAAGAAACAGCTAAGACCACACATTGCTCCTCGAAGCACGAAGCTGAAAGCACCAGCCTGAAGATGACGAATGGGACTTTGTCGAAACGTCGCCAAGACACTTCCAATTTTACGCAGGAGAAAACCTGAACAACCAAAGATCTACATACAAACACCCGCGAAAACCTCAGAAAACAAATATCGAACCTCTACGGGGAGGAAATCCACCATCTGACCAAGACCTATGAAAAACTTGAAGTCCAAAGAGCTTCCATTTTATGCGACCTCACATTCCTACGTAACTGCCGAGATCAAAATCTAATCCCCACATGTTTCCAACTGAAATTCCACTCCAACTCTGCAGCCACCAAACGGATCCTGAAAAGAACAGAATTGGCCCTAATCAGAAATGAACTTCACACAAAAAGATTCCTCCTAGACCGAATTAACAAAGATCTCCTCACACTCCACCTCAAACTCAGCAACAAGATCCACCCCGCACTTTGGGACAAATCCAAACAACTCGCCGTCTGGAGAGCCGAAACACAGACCACCCTCAAGACAGATACACACACCAACAAACTCCGAAGACTACAAGAACGCCAGAAACAAACCCCTCCTCCCTCACAGCCACACATGAAACAAACAGTGCATAACATCTCAGATAGGATCCTCACCAAAGCCGAAACCAATGTCCTTTCCAAAGGATTCAACTTTGCAGTCGCTCCCAAACACATCCCCACTGAAACCATTATATGTGGAGTTGAAACCAGCCTGACCAAAATCAACCCCGACGACGCTAACAGAATCAGACTCGAAATCACCAACATCCTCTGCACCAGCAAGCCACCCAAAAACAACTTACCCAAAGAGGAACAGACAGCACTACGTAACCTGAAAGAAGACACCAGCATAATAATCCTACCAGCAGACAAGGGCAACGCCACGGTGGTTATGAACACATCTGACTACCAAACCAAATTAACCAACCTACTCCAAGACTCCACATACAAACCCCTAAATACAGATCCCACCACCTACCTGGAAAAAAACCACCAGATCCAAAATAAAAGCCTCCCCCATTAGCGAAGAGATCCAGCAAAGAATCATTCCCAGAGAGAAATCATCCAGATGCCCCAAACTCTATGGTCTCCCCAAGATACACAAAGAAGGAACCCCACTCAGACCTATAGTCAGCTCCATAGGCTCACCTCTACAAAACCTAGCCAAATTTCTCGCCAAACAACTACAGCCCTATGCAGAATCCATCACCTCACACGTAAAAAACTCATTCCAGTTTATAGAGATCATAAAGAAACAAAACTTACAGCCCAGCGACCTACTCGTGAGCTTTGATGTCATATCCCTCTTCACCCAAGTGTCTATCAAAGAAGCCTTGACAGCTATCCAAAACAAATATAAACCCCCCAAACACATCTTAGATCTGACCAACCACTGCCTATCCAACACATACTTCATCTATAATGGACAAAAATACAAACAAACAGAAGGAGCACCCATGGGATCACCCCTCTCACCTGTCATTGCAAACCTCTACATGGAACACTTTGAAACCCAAGCTCTAGAAAAATCGGATCACAAACCCAAACTCTGGCTCAGATACGTAGACGACACCTTCATAATCTGGCCACATGGGAAAGAAAAACTGGACAACTTCCTCACACACCTCAACAGCCTACACCCCAAAATACAGTTCACCATGGAAACAGAAGCTAACAACCAACTTCCCTTCCTGGATGTCTTAGTCTACAAGAAATCCAATGGCTCCCTAGGACACACCATCTACCAGAAGAAAACACACACAAACCGCTATCTGCACGCTCTCTCACACCACCACCCAGCACAGATCAACTCTGTAGCCAAGACACTCATCTCCAGAACAAAACGCTTAGCTGACGAACAACACCTAAAAACTGAACTACACACTCTCACCAATGTACTAACATCCAATGGATTCCAAAGAAATAAGATTACAAACCTAATCCAAAAAGAAACCCCCACTAAAATCCAAGACAAAGAACAAGAAAACGGCAAAGCCCTCCTCCCATACATAAAAGGCACCACAGACAGAATCAGTAAGATCCTCCATAAACACAACATCAAAACAGCATTCTGCACAAACAGAAAAATATCCACCATCCTTAGAAACCCCAAAGATAAAATTGACTTAGAAAATCAAGGAGTATATGAAATCCCATGCACTGCTTGTCCCACCACATACATCGGACAAACCAACAGAAGAATAAGTGCACGCATTGAAGAACATAAGAACTCAGTCAAAAAAGAGGAACCAACATCTTCCCTGGTCCAACACCTTAAAGCCACAGGACATGAAATTGACTTTAAAAATACCAGAACCATTGCCAAAAGTGAACATTTTAATAACAGAATAATCAGAGAAGCCATCGAGATAGAAAAACGCCCACACAGCATGAACAAGCGAGATGATACCTCCCGCCTACCAGCCATTTGGAAACCGCCCTTATTGACAAACGACTCCCTAACACAAAAAATGATACCAGACCCACACTCACAAAAACCACACAGGATGTCACCACCACACATCCACGCAAAAAGCAAACCCAAAGCCACACCGACAATGAGGCACGACCACAAACCAGAAGCAAGACCCCAGCTGCATCATTAGCCACTTTAAACCCCTCCAATCCATACATGAAGCAAACTGACACTCTCCATGAAGATGAGGCACGACCACGAACGCGAAGCCAAAAAATAGCAAGGCAGCCCAAAATCTTAAACCCCCCTGCAACTCAGACTAACCTGAGCACAACCAAACAGAACACTCCCCCAGCCAATCAGAGCACAGCCAACCCCCCAGCCAATCAGAGCACAGCCAACCCCCAGCCAATCAGAGCACAGCCAGCCCCTAACCAATCAGAACACACCTCCACCCAATCAGAACACAGCCAAGCTCCCACCCAATCAGTTCATACCCCCACTGGCAGTTAAAAGGAAGAAACAGCTAAGACCACACATTGCTCCTCGAAGCACGAAGCTGAAAGCACCAGCCTGAAGATGACGAATGGGACTTCGTCGAAACATCACCAAGACACTTCTAATTTTACGCGGGAGAAAACCCGAACAACCAAAGACCTACATACAAACACCCACGAATAAATTGCTCTCTAGTGGGAGAGGGGCCAACTACAGCTTCTCGTGCAATTCTTGGCAAAAAAGCTAAATGTAAAGTGGTTTATTTATTGGTAGTGTGTGCATGGGCAAGTGGGGAGAAGCAAAGAGAGGCAAGGATGATACATGAATCACAGTGTCATTACACAAATAACACAAGATTGTGTGAGACATTATGATGCAAATTACATAAACCATACAGGTTAAATGAAGCAACTGACTGTTAAGAAACCACACAGCCACAAGAGGGAAGAACACTCAACCATCTCACAGAACAAACACTTGAGCAAAGGAAACATCAGAGCACTGGACACAAAATTGGTTCATGGGTATATCTTATCATGTTCTCTGTAGCCACCATATTCTTTGGAATAGCCGCCACCCTGAGATTCAAGTATGAGTCAAGTATGTAATACCAACACTCCTTTCCCCCTTTTCTAAAATGAAGACCTTACCTCTTCAGCTCCTGTGACAGAGTACGCATGCCCTTTCACCAGCTTCTGGGTTGTAACTGCCTCAGTTTCGGCAGCATTTGTGATCTAGAAACATGAAGAAATTAAGTTCTACTTATCTCGAGTCTAGAAAACTAAGACAGCAATAGGACAGATCTTAACTGAGGAATGCTAGAAAGAGGTTTAACTTTACAATAGCTAGTAGTCCTGATGAGTAATGGAAATGTCTGGGTCAGAAGCAGAAATGGGTTGCCACACCATGCTAACCCATAATGTGATTTGTTGGTTGGATAGTTGGTTGGTTGGTTTGGTTGATTGGTTGGTTGGATTAAGATACTGTAAGAATTCACTATTTGGTTTTATAAACCATAGTGCATGCCTTATATATTCAATCTGCTGTGATTTATTTGGTAAATCATGAGTAAAGTGGTTTAGCACAACAACAGACTGAGGCTGGTGGTACAGATAGTCTTCACTTAACAACCATTCATTAGACAACTGTTTGAAGAAGTTACAGCAGCACTGAACAAATGGTAGTTATGTCAGGTCTCCTAAGTTAGGGCTGTTGCAGCACTCCTGCAATCATGTGAACAAAATTCAGAATTTTGACAGCCCGCCTGCACTTACGACCTCAGGAGCACTTTAACTCCCCCCACCCAGCCATTTCCCCTCCCGTCTCTGCCTTTTTGGCCATCTGCCACCTTGAATGTTTGACATTTGTTTGAAAAAAAATCCCTGATCAGGACTACAGCCATCTGTATCTTTCATTAAAACTTTATTGGAGAGGGGCCAGCCTATCGGTTTTAAGCCTGAAACTCATGCAACTAGCATTAATTTTGGCAGCAAGAAAACAATCTTCCTATTTTCTTTCTTATTTGTTGAGACAAGTACACTGACCAGGATGTTTTAATTGGGGCGAGGGAAATTTCCAGCTCAATTTCCTATTTGGAATGCAACTGCATGTGATGATAGCACCCAAGAGGTTTTCAACATCTCTCTGCCCTAATCACATGGACAACCAGAAGGGCCACAACAATTGAGCAAAGATAAGCTCTCATCAGCCAATTTTTTCCCTGTGTCACAATTGGCTCACACCCTAGGTTATTTTCCCCAACTGGGTTTTAGTTCTAAAAATCATCTTTGCTGGTAGAAAGTTGCTGCGAATAGTATGTAGGTAGAAAATGTGACCCAAAATTGGTGGGGATTCAGCATTGTTCTCTTTTTTGTGTGTTCCTCCTACAATTTAAAATGAAACTCTGGTAAAGTTTACATGTGATGGGTAACTCCCTATTTAGAGATATGTTTTCAGATCTGACATTATCACAGCTGTAAAGGTTGGCAGCTGAATTAAAGCAGTCATTGGTTGGGTTCCTACATAATCTCAATGTTTTAGGTGAACCATGATTTAGAGCTTAGCATACTATATGAATTCTCTTGGCTTAATTTACAGTTGTGATAAAATTTAGTGAGTAGAGAAGCTCATTGGATAACATCAGCAACAACATTAAAGAAATATACATAGATAATAAATAATTCTTTGGCATTTGTCCTTAATATTGAGAAAGTCTGTTTAATAGTCGAAGCTTTACCGTTTGGTCTAGTTCTGGAGAAATTACTGTATACTGAGAAATATAAGTGAAGAGTCATCATTGCCACTTTAGCATAAAAGAAAACCTTACAGAGAATATCTGTATATGCTTCACAGCTAACAAAGAGCCAGGATTGGTAGGAGAGACCACAGTTATATGTGAAACTCATCAAAAGACCTCTTTTGCATTACCTCAGATAATTTTCTGCCACACTATGAGGGTTTTCTATTCTGTTTGGATTCAGAGTGCTTTCAAAAGGGCAAAAGAAAATCTGAATGCTCATACCAGCAAGATTTAATACTGGCAGAGGAAGAGTTTTAACAATATTCACTATTAATGATTTGCTCAGAATCTGCTACTGAGTCAGTTGGCTTACTTTACTGTCTTCTTATCAACTAAACTGGTTGGCCAGAAATTAAAATGGCTCACCTTTTACTTTCAAGTTTTTCAGTGAAGATTTCCAGGAATGTTGCCTAGTTCTGGTCAATCACTGTAGTTATTAGATGGTTTGAAGCTTAGTATTTATTTATCCAAATGTAGAAAGATGCCTAGACACTAAGAGCAGCAGCTGATTCCTCATCTATAGCTTTCATCAACCCACATATTTGCTGCAAGAGAGGCTAAGTAGCATAGGAATATAGGGGAAGATACAGTGCTTTAGTGCTTCTAGCACAACTCATTTGGCCTTTTTTTTTTTTTTGCTGTTTAGTAGACAAAGCTGGTCCACTTCAAAGCTGTAATTCCATTCTTAAAGAAGAGAAGACTTATGGATTCTCCAGCTTTTGGGTATGATTTCTGTTCTAGCAAGAAAGTTGAAATTGTGCACTATCATGCCATTATCAATTACCTCAGTCAAACAATTCCTTTGCACCTAAAAGAACTTTGAGAATATAGTATTAACTTACATCAATAGAACACCCAAGGAGAGAACCTTTCTGAAGAGCTTTCTGGATTATTTTGAACAGGTTTGGTGGTGCTTTCTGCAACTCATACCACTCTGCAATTCCACCAGTGAAGTCTTCAAAGCCCTCAGTAGTGCTTCCCCCTGAAAGACCTTCATAGGAACCATTCACCCTGTGAAAGATACAACCCAAACTTTTAATATTTAATAACTTTGTCTTTGAAATCCATTCTTAACAGAGATGGAACTCCATTCTTAGATGTCTACACTGTCTCTTTTTTTCATTCATGAGAAATCAAACATCAACATTTGATAAAGTAGACCACAACCTACTCCTTGGTAGGTTAGAAAAAGGTGGAATAGACAACATCACCACCAAATGGATCTGTAGCTGGCTGGCAAACTGTACTCAACAAGTACTCTTCCATGGCACCACATCCACATGGAGAGAAGTAAGCAGTGGGGTACCACAAGGTTCTATCTTAGGCCCAGTACTCTTCAATATCTTCATTAATGACTTAGATGACAGAATTTAAGGGGAACTCATCAAATTTGCAGATGACACCAAACTGGCAGGAGTAGCCAACACCCCAGAAGACAAACTCAGGACCCAAAAAGATCTTGACAAACTAGAACAATGGGCCCTATCTAACAAAATGAGTTTCAATGTGGAGAAAAGCAAAGTTTTACATTTAGGTAGGAAAAATCAAAGGTACAAGTACAGATTGGGCAAGACGTGGCTTAAAAACAGTAACTGTGAGAGGGACCTTGCAGTCCTAGTGGACGATCACTTAACCATGAACCCGCCGTGTGCAGCAGCAGCCAAAAAAGCTAATACAATCCTGGATTGTATAAACAGAAGCAAAGAATCAAGATTAAGCGAAGTATTAGTACTGCTTTATAAATCCCTAGTAAGACCACACCTGGAATACTGCAGCCAATTTTGGTCACCATATCACAAAAAAGATGTTGAGAGTTTGGGAAAAATTCAGAGAAGAGCAACTAAGATGATCAAAGGCCTGGAGACTCAAACATATGAAGAACGGCTGCGGGACTTGGGTTTGGCTAATCTAAAGAAAAAAAGAAATAGGGGAGACATGATAGGAGTATTCCAGTATTTGAGGGGCTCCACAAAGAAGAGGGGGTCATGTTATTCACCAAAGCACCAGAGGGAAGGACGAGAAACAATGGTTGGAAACTGATCCATGAAAAAAGCAACCTGGAATTAAGGAGAAACTTCCTGACTGTGAGGACAATTAACCAGTGGAACAACCTGCCTCCAGAAATCGTGGGCGCTCCAACACTGGAGATTTTAAAGAAGAGACTAGACAGTCACTTGTCTGAGATGGTATAGATTCTCCTGCTTGAGCAGGGGGCTGGACTAGAAGACCTCCAAGGTCCCTTCCAGCTCTATTCTATTCATGTGACTCTATCACAAAGAGTTATTTCTCCCTTGGCCTGTTATCCACCATTATGTCGTATTAAACTTTGTATATAGTTTATGCATATGTAAACTATGCCCTGATGTTATTGTTATGGCTTTATGTTACTCTTGTTTTGGCTCCAAACAAATGTCATGGGTTGTGAAAGCTAGAAATGAATGTTTTATGAGGAATATGGGCAAAGCTTAACTAAAGAAGCTTTCCCCCGAAGTACAATATGGAATATGGATGCTCAAATCAGTATTTTTTCTACTTGGCATAATATTAATCACTAGTAAATCACTAAGCTGTTCTGTTCAGTGCCTCCAAAATTATGCAGTTTTTTTTTCAAACATGTTTTTATAATTTTCCTAAACATAAGCCCTTTAAAATTATTTCTGAGCTGATAATGAGGGAACCATATCTTGGTTCAAATATTAATCCAGAAAATCCAAATTAACAGGGAGATAATTATTTTTTCTTTCTTTCTTTCCTTCCTTCCTTCCTTCCTACCTACCTCACAGATACAAAGAAGCAAAATACAAAATAAAATTATCCAACTTAATCCTCTTCCTGCAGGTATTATTTAAAAAAAAAAACAGAAAAACACATTTTGGAAAAGGATTGCCCCCATATTGCATTTAATTTTCTTTCTCTTTTTCTTTCTTTTATCCAGCCATGCTTACCTACCTGTATCTATAAGTCAAGGGAATAGATTAATGGATATTTAATACATTGCTTTTATTACTATCTTAAAAATGTGTTATTAAAATGTACTATCAGTATTATTCATAGAATATTTGCAAAATGTTAGTAGGAAAAGCAATAGAAAGTTACTAAAACATTAAACATATGGGAGAAGAGAAATTAGAAATACAATGGTGTGTACAAGGATTATGAACTCTGTTTAGTAGTTCTGTTAGAACAAATTTCTAGTCTCTGAATTCTTTCATTTTAAGCTTGTTTTTTTCAGCCAAGTTCAAGCTACCAGACTTGGAGTTCAAACATGTTAAGTAGTGCTTCAGAGTCATAAACCTGTCCACAATATCATACCGTAGCTTTGCGTTTCACTAATGGGAAACAAATCTGGTATAAAATAAGAGAAGATTTCTGAAGTTGGCATAAAGCAGCAGAATGTTCTTAATCTTTACTTACTTGGCATAGGCTTTCTCCAGTAGAGCACTCCAGAATTCATTTCTCTCTGCTGAGTGAACAAAAAGTAGTTCTCCATTTTTGGTCGGCAATCGATCATCAACAACAACATCTGTCCACTCTCCATACTGCCAGAACTGAAAGGAGAAAGAAAACAATCCAGTCAAAGCCCAATGACATGAGCTATAGCCATGCTGTTCTAGGTCAACAATGCTGGTTGGAAATTTTGGAGGCTGGGAAGATTGCCTTGGCAAAGAACATGGTTTTATTCAAGAACAATTGAAATATATAACTATAGAACTGTCTGTGGAGCTGGAAAAGACTATAAGCATCATCTAGTTAAGCCGTTCATGAAATGTGACTGTCCATGCTTTTCTTAAAACCTCCAGATGGAGAACCCACATCATCTCGTAACTATTCTACTGTTGACAGATTTTACCACATATGATTTCTTTATGCTTGCTGTTCCTATTGTTACCATGTATATACTAAGATAATGATTTTTGTATCAAATCTAAATGAATTTCATTTATGTTACATTACTCCAAAACTTCAAACCAGTGTTGCTGATCAACAACATGGCACCAGTTCATGTCATTAGTCTTAACTAAATATCTATACATAATTATTATGCTAGTTCTATTTAGGTTACATTTTGCAAAACACTATACTGATGTATACTTTTCCAACTTTTTTTAGAATTTTACCCTTCCCTTTCACTTTGTGTCTTCAACATTTCCAGAAAATTTATATTTCATCAGTATCTGTAAGTGGAGAATTACTTGAAACGCACTGCTAAGAAAGTGCCATGAAAGCACCACGGCCTTCCTGGGGACAAATTATATCTAGAAAGGCCCCTTCTGTTCTTCCAGCAAACTTTGCCTCAGTAAGACAGCAGAAAAGCAGAATCCTTGATACCTGGAAGTGGAAGATTCCTGCATATTTGTCTTGGAAACTTTGATTACTGGGAACCACCCGAGCCAAAATTTCTTCATTCAAGGTGAGAGAAGCAATTGCTGCTAGAAGCCAACAGTCTCCTGAAAAACCAAAATAAAATCAAATGCTACTTAAAGGCAGAGAACAAAAATTAACAAACTGGTCCCATTGACCAATCCAGAGCAATCATTTTATTAGGATAAGAAGAAACCAGAATAGAATCTATTGGTTGATTTGCAGATCAACAGGGTGTGACATCAACTGCCCAAATTGTACAGCAGAAATGTACAATCTGGGATGATTCTGAACAGATTTTTGTTCAGAGGGAAAATGAGCCCCATTCAGTTCTGATAGTCAAAACAAATAATGCTTCAGTTCTACGTCTTTTGCCTTTGGCTCCATTGGTATACATTGGGGTTTCCAGATGACTCTTGTTCTATCAATGCCAGATAAAGACTGCCACTGCTATGCATGTGAGAACAATCACTATATCCAAAATATGTTCTACCAGCATTGAATAGGAAAAGCTTCAGAAATATCTCCCAAATTATTGAAAACAGCAGATACCACACTCCCACCCGCACTCCTAGAATTACCTATCAGGGATTGTGCAGGCAACAACAGTTTCAAAGGGAACCAAGAACCTCATAGCTAAACCAGCAACATTCTAATTCCCCATCCCATTCAATGCAGTTCTGCTTTCATCTTACGCATGCCACTTAAGCATGCCACTCCTACACATGCGTTTGTTTCCCGTAAGAATTTTTGGGACTGGACAGTTCATTTTGCCTTCTTCAGCTCAACCAGTCACACATAACAGGCTTCTTTGATTTTATGTTTAATGCAAGCTGATCGTCATGGCAGGCACTGAATGTTGGTTGTGCTTCAGAGGTTGGAACAGTCTGTATCCAGAGATAAACAAATAACAATACTGATTCGTTTTCACAACATTTTCCTCTTGTAAAGACATCTTTAAGAATAATTAACAATTTTGCCTAGAATAACAATTTTCAAGTTCCAATTGGGATAGCATTTTGCCTTACACTTGGGGCACAGGCAATAAGCAGTGAGTTAAAGTGAATATAATATTACTTTGGGATTATAGAATAAATCAATTCATTGTTTTTACATAAGCACAAATGTCCTTATTAAAATTTGGACATGTTATGCAAAGAGCCTGAGAAAGGTGTAAACAGAAAAACTAAGTAGAAAAAGAGGGTAATGTAGGAGAAGAACTGGCAGAACCTGGGAGTGGAGTCAAAAGAGGAATTGGCTTAGAATCTCTGTGTAGTCACAAACAGACTAAGTCCAACCCCCCCCTTGAATTCCATTAACTCTTATCTAGTGCCAAAATAGTGAGTAGATCCCTGGCATAGACATGAGCAATAACTCAATTTAATTGGAACTTCATGTGCAGTCCTGGTCTTTTATGCCTAACAGATAACCAGCAATAAGATAGATAGATATAATTACAACTGGAATGAGTTCACAGTTAGAAGATGTAAAGGACTAGGCTGGGGGTTGATCATCTTGAGAAAGTATATCTAAGTGGTTGCTAAGAGTCAACATTGACTTGATGGCACATAATTAATCAGATGTACTTTAATATAGGGACTGTTCTCAAAAACATTTTGTACAAGTTTCATCTCCTTGCTCACATTTGATGATGACGTTATTCATTCAGTTGAGTTTGACTCCTGGCAACTCTATGGGCCAGGTCTCTCCACATCTTCTGATCTTGCACTATTTCTTTGAGTTTCTCTATACTCTGCCTTTTGTCAGCTTTGATAGTGTCCAGCCGTGTTCTACGATTGCCTGGTTTCCTTTTACCACTAACTTTTCCAAACTTAATTGCTTTCTCCAGTGAATTCCCCATATTACATAGCCAAAGTAAGTGAGACACAGTTTTGTTATTTTGCCTTCTAGTGTTATGCATCCAATACTTGCTTGTTAGTCACTGCTCACATTTAACTGTAGGAAATCAAGACTTGATTCCAGAAACAGTATACCTAAAGAGACATCCTGAATCTATCACCATGGAGAACAGCCACTTAAAACAAAGCTGTGGGGTCAGGGAATTAAATGTCCTCAATTGGATTTACACCTTACTAGAATCCCAGAACTAAAAATAGTAGCAAGACCAAATGAGGACCAAATGAGAAGCGGCATCACACAATTGTTAGCTCACAAGCTCCAATAGCTGGCTAACTCAAAATCCAAGAATGATACAGATTTCAGAAAGGTATCTTTAATACTAGCCAGGGATGAAAACAACCTTGATGGCTGTTCAAGATTTGGTAGGTTCCCAGGCAAGCAAGACAATTAAGGCAGAGGCTCTTTGAAACATTTTCTTCCCGTTGCCTCACCTCCTAAACCCACTGAAATCCTCCTTCATCTGATTCCCAGTCTCTCACAGAAGCAAAAACTTCCTATTGTTTAGCTCTCCTTAAAAAGAGAAATAAGAATCAGCTTGTGTTCTGGCTCAGGATCCTGCTGATTCTCCAGAAACATTTGAAGAATAAGGGAGCTAAATAAATGGCTAAGTTGCTGCCAGTATGTTGTTGGTGCAATATTTCTATTTATCCACAGCCCCTTGTGTTCTCATTTGATTTCTTGCCTGGAAACTCTTGATTTGGATTAGCATAATTTATCTTAGATATGCTTCTGCTTTGTCTTCCTGTGCCTTGCCTTATGATCAGCTATTCAGTTTCTCTGGGAAGATATAACAGGGAATTTGGCCAAAATGTTCAGAGATATTTGGAAATGGGAAACACTTGAATACATTAACTTAATAATATAGATTATTAGTACTATTTATTTATTTGGCTTCTCTGCTGCTACAATCAAATGACATTTGTATTAATATTTTTTGGCAAGGTCCATATATTTCTCATATAAAATATAAAAAGAAACAAAATATAAAGGTAAGTTAACCTTATTTATTTATTTATTTATTTATTATTTTCTTGGTGATATTTCTTTGAAGAACTAGGCCTTTTAGTCCATCTACAATATTCTTTTTCCAACCATTATCATAGCAACAATCACTCTAAAGCAATGGGTTGTATCTCCCAGGCTGCTATAATATCACATGAATCAAGGTTGAATGTCCAGGTAAGTTAGTGTAGATAATCAAAACAACCTTATAGGTCTGGAGAGACAGAGTCCCAGTGAGATTAACCAGTAGCTTTTGAGCTTTTCCAATGTAGAAGAAGCATCTTCTCACCTACAATTCAGCTTTGTTAAACTCTTCTTGACATTAGAAAAAAAGTAAAGGTTTCCAGTCATGTCCAACTCTAGGGTGAGGTGCTCATTTCCATTACTTGGCCAAGGGAGACAGTGCTGTCTGAAGACATCTTCTGTGGTCATGTGACCAGAATAGCTAGACACCAAAGGTGCACGGAATAATATTACCTTCTCGCCAAAGTGGTTCCTATTCATCTACTTGCATTTCCATGATTTTGAACTGCTAGGTGGGTAGAAGCTGGGGCAGGAGTGGGAGCTCACCCTGTCACATGGTGCTCGGGTCTTGAACTTGGACTGTCAGCTTTCCAATTGTCAATTTCAGTGTCTTTAATTGTAAGCCATCGCACCTCCTACATTACCACAATCTTGACATTAAAAAGAAAAAGAAAGATTGCCCCTAATAGGACAGGCATAATATTTGCCATTTTTGAGTTGTGGGTCAGCAGAGTTCTGGTTCCTCTGGATTAAAGTCCTACTGAGTCCTCCACTGATATTCCATACCACCAGAACAAACTGGTGGACTCTGGTGGTAGACCTTAACTTTCCAAAGAGGTCTCTCTCTGTATCCAGTGGTGGGATTCAGCCGGTTCGCACCACTTCGGCAGAACCAGTAGCTAATGTTTTATTGCCCAGGCCCAGAATGGACTTCCGAAGCAGCATCCACACAGAGAACCGGTTGTTCACATATTTGAATCCTACCACTGTCTGTATCTCTTTCTATCTGCAAAGAGGAACTTCTCAATACCTTAGTCTCCTCCCACTTTGCCTCCCATAGGATTGCTATCTTAAAGCCAATCCTACCTGCAGCATTAAAGGGGAGAGCACTGAAGCCTAAACAAGTGTGCTATCTGGGTACAGTGGAGCTATATTAGCTGCCAATATTTCATCATGATATTATATGAGGAAACCAGATATTTCCAGATCCAAACACTTTTTTATACAATATGTTCAGTAAAATAGTTACTATTAATGATTTTTTTACCACATTTATGGCTCACAATAACTTTGTAGCACAAGCCAAATCAAATTTATAATTTCCCCATGAAAGATTTAACAAATTTCTTGCAAACTAGGATTCATACAGCTTGGATTTAAAGAATTCTCTCTGGGTATTCATTAGTATATTTGAGAAGTGTTTTGTATCAAAACTCTAATATAGCTAAATGTTTATGTTATTGGTGCATGAAGTTTAGTTCATTGGATTTAATGAATCACTGAAGCAAAAGGAAGGAAATTAATGGTGTCTTCATAGAGAAAACATATTTATACATTTTTCCAAAGATGTTGCCATGGTATTACAGCAATGATCTTTAAACAGTTTCTGTTTAAAGTGGGAGGGGGCAGATGTCTCCTACGTTAAAAAGCATATTTGCATAAGAAAAAGAAATATTTTTTCTATAATGGTGTCATGCCACCATACTGTGAAGATTCTTTGTTTTATTCACTAAAACTGTCTGTAGAAGGAACAGGATTTTTGGTGTGGGGAACAATTGATAGCATCATGACAGTATGCAATGAACACATTTGTTTCTTTCCCTCTCTTTTTTTTCCTGCTATAACCTTTGAAATTGAACAGGTTGAAGCAGGAAAAACTTTCTAAACTGCTTCTGCTGATTTATCTACTTTCATGGTTTAGTCTGGCACTGTCCTTAATATTAGTAGGAAATGCTGCATAGGTCACAGGAACAAGTAAGACTATTAACCTGGACTATATACCTTTCTCCATCTTACTTAAAAGTTAAAAGGATCACATTAAAGCCTTTATTGACTAAAACCATGATGGGCAGTCTCTTTCTCTCAGCCTAACACACCTCGTTATTTAAAAATTCAAATTTAATAAACAATAAATAAATAAATATTATGGAATGCCACAGAAATGTATGTAGCTAGGCCAGGGGTAGGCAACCTTGGCTCTTTTATAACTCGTGGACTTCAACTCCCAGAATTCCCGAGCCAGCCATGCTAGGCTAATGGAATGTTTCAAAATGGATGTTTGACAGAATAACAAAGTGAAAGAGACTGTGGATGATAATTATTACTGCAAAAGTACAAGAATTATTAAAATGATGAAAGATATTAAAATCATAGAGTTAAACCACTGAGTTATCTCAAAGAACATGCAGTCCAACCTCTTGAGCACTACAGGATCCATTAGAACATCTCTGACAGATGAATTGGTTTGAAGACTGTTAGTAAAGGAGAATTTATCACAGATTTGCAGTAACTGTCAGATGAACTGTATGATGTAATGAGAAGTATATATCTGAAAACTGATATAGCAAATCCCAAAATACTGGTGTTTGACAGTGAAAATGGAGTGAGTGATTGCAAATTATATATAAATGGTAAAAAATGCAGTAAATAGAACAATTTGTGCACAATGTATAAATGCTGAGAGACAGGTAGTATATGGTCTGTTGCCAGGACTGACTGCTAGAAGAAGCATAAATGGCTGTGTATATAAGCATGCTTCTGCCTATTTGTTATATGGGACAAGTGAAGTGCATATCAGGATAAGTCTAAATGTAAATTCAGATATAAATACAAGTGAAAATGAGGTACTAAAAGAAATCACGACAAGAATGAATGTGTGCTGAATGAATGTGGACTGAGTAAAAAAAAAGATCAGTACAAAAGAAATATATTGAAACTGTTTCATTATACAGAGAGTAATATAGAGAGGATCATATAAATGATCATATAATTTAAATGAGGATCAAATTGTAAAACAAACATAAGAGTGAATTGGTTGAAAGGGGAAGACCATAGAGCTCATGGTTGGATGGTGAAGATGTGATCTTGACAAAGAAAGAAGTAACAAGTTAAAAGAATAAAAGGCAATGTATGAAGTGGTATATGATTGTGGTAGAAACAAGGACTAATTTGCAAGAATTAATGGAGAGGAATTGTGAATGTATTGTTATAAACTAGATTTCAGTTATGTTTTTTCCTCTTTTACATATCTCATACTTTTAATTTCTTTGCCTCACTATTTCTTATTCCTTTTCTGCACTTGCATAACATTGCTAGTTCTGAAAGGAAATGGCTGAACAATTTTTAGAAAACAAGTTTGGGCAGAATTGTGGTTCATATCACAATTCCAATGGACTAGAAAGATGAAAGTGATTATCAAGCTTTCCATCCCCTTATTTAAGAAGTTTGAAATCTGGAACTGTCTTAATGTACTGTAACTATAATTTCCAAGATTCCCAACTAGAATAACTAGTGGCCAGGATGGCAGACACTTCTTACCATTGTTTCGTAGCAATGTGGGAGAGCAACAATGGATTTCTCTGTGAGCGACTATTCAACTTCTATAGACTTTTCTAGAAAGAGAAATTCTACTGGTTCAATTTAAAAGTGCATGGATACAGATCCTGCAATTATTGAATACTAATTGGCCAATATAAAGAACACTGGTAATTGTAGATCAATATTTGGAGGTCACTGTTGGAATTCATGAGTATCTTTTGTCAGAGTTGAGTTTATGGATTCAAAATGGCCAATTTTCTTTTTCCATGGTCTTTCTGATTCTACAAATTGAGACTGTGCATGTTTGTTTCTGCAACATAATAAAGTGCTTCATATCCAGCATCCCTATATAATAGCTAAGCACCTGGGGTTTTGAAGACAGAATTGATCTTCATAATTTCCTCTTGTAGGAGTACAGCCAGTTAGATGATGTTATTCAAAAATCAAAAGGAATCTGGTAGCACCTTTTCAGAATAACTGTTTTATTAAAAGGTACAATCTTTTGTGAACCGCAACTCACTTCATCAGATGACTCAGAAGTGGCAGAACTGCAAACTTGGAAAACTTGATTGGAATAGAAGGAAGCTAGTGAATTTCCACACGTCAGTAAGAAGCTATTTAGATGATGGATCTTTAAGGAATTTGTTAATTTACAAATTAACTCAAAGCAGATTTTCAGCCATCAAGATCATTATTATTTTTTAGTTCTATCATATGGAAATATATATTGAAATGCTTATAATTTTCATGGGTTCTAAGACAGAGAATCCTTATCTTACATTTCTTAAGTAAACATAGCTATCTTATATGTGAACAGGTAAAAACAATTATATCTCATAATGTTTACAAGACAAATCTTATCGTAACTAAACACATTGCAGTCTACAGAAGCCAAGTTAAGTCATTTTAATACTGGTAATCACCACCAACTCTAATTCTATCAAATGCAAGGAGTGAGAAGATATTGGATAACATGATTTTTATATGCTCAGTTAAACTAAAATGAGATGGGTAGTTTGCAGTCCAGATTTTGGAAATCCAGCTACATTTGTTAAAACTCTCTCCATATTAAAAAAAAAGGGGGGGAAAGCAAGCAATAGTCATCCCTGAAGCTGGCTTAACTAAATTTTCCCCATTCACAAATATTATTCTCAGCAACTGCCCTGTGGGAAGATCTTTATTTAAAAATATATGTTTTATTGCTCTGCGGGAAGTTCTTTAATTGTAGATTAAGTATTATGCAGATGTTATGCCATCAAACTATTCATTTGCATGGCAAATAATGTTATGCAAAGTACGGAAAAGTAGAAAAACTAGCAAGCAAAATAAAATTAAAGATAGGCAATAAGAGGTAAGAGAAAGAAATCTAAGTGTGATTTCCAACTTCTAGCATGTCCATATAAAGATTTATAAATTGCTTTTTATCTTTTTAAACCTCAACTTTATTTCTAATTATCACGTATAGGAGATGATTGTATATATTACAAATCTTTCCAAATAATTAACATAAGAGAGAAACTACTTTTAGTATAACTAAATGCTTCTCATCCTTCAACAACAAAGAAGTTGTAAGGACCTGCCCCAGCTGGCCCTCTCAGGAAAGTATGACTCTTGACACCATGTGGTTACTCAAAGAACTTTTACTGAGAAACAGTGGAAAGTACCAAGCTATTCTTCCCACTTTGAAACCCAACCCCGCTAATCGCTGTACAGTGCCAGAAGGTTGTTTCGAGAACTCTGAGGTACAGGAGAGATAACGGGTCATCCTTAGGGCACAGTGACCTTGGAGTCAGGATGGAACCTCCCTAATTCCCATGTGGTTAGAGCAGAAGCGAAAGCATGCAAAGAATGCTGCCCCAGCACGTCCTCTTCCCCCAGAATGGCAGGCCACCCTGAAAAAGGGGACCTGACAGAAGTTAAGGAATTCTTTCATTCCAAGAATTGAGCTATAACAAAACCCTTCAAATTCACTGTCAGCTCTCTGTTCACCATCAACAACAATACAATACATAAGGTAAGATATGCATTAAAAGCCGTGAAGAACTTGGATTGCATGCAGCCCAAAAAAGAACACATCAGTTTCTGAAAGGGCATTTTCAGCAATGTAGACATAATGCTAAGCAGGGATTTTTTTCTCATAGAACGCCCAGAACAGAGTTCCAGCACCTTTTTTGGATGGAACCTTGTAGGGAAGGAAAGGCGGGTTGTTTTTTTAACCAAAAAAGCACTGATGCTAAGGATACTTCAAGAAAAAGTAAACCATATGAACCATACCTTACCTAAAGCCCCTTGGCAGATATCAGTCCGGGTGGCACCTCCAATAATAAAATGAGGTTTGGAACACAATTCCTGGGAAAATAAAGAATAAAACAAAATCTTTACAATTGTTTTGATATGATTAATATTTGGATGGAGGATTGCTTGGGAATTCCAGGGTTGTTGCTAGACTGGGGAGTTGAAAAAAAATCTCAAAGAAGGCATAACTTCTATAACATGGTCAATAATCTTATTTGGATCTAATCACCAGAAGTCAGTCTTCGACTGAAAGGTGAGTTTGTGTTTTATTTATGGAGCTCCTGGGCTGTGGCATCAATGTCTATGAGATGCTGAGATTATATTTCTCAACATAAATCATAAATGTTTCAATCAGCTTACTTAGCTAAATCCCATAGAATACAAAGTACTCTGTTTAAACAATTGAAATTGAACAGCAAGTGAAGCTCTTCATATCACTGAGTTAACATAATTCACTTTTATTTCCAATGTTTAGGCTATGACTGCCATTGTTTATGTAACGTAAACAGAACCATTCAAGCATTACCAAAAAGCATTATTATTATCATTCACTGCACCGTCAGTTAAATATTTAGACTAGATTTTACATTTTTATCCACCTATAAAGTCCTTCCCAAGGACCTGGAATAGGGAGATTTTGTTGTCTGATGATATTAAACATATAGTTAAATATGTAGTTCTCAATGGAACTACATCTACATGGAGGAAAGCTCTTTAACATCTTCATAAACAATTTAAATGAGGGGATAGAAAGGGAACTCATTAAATTTGCAGATGACACCAAGCTAGGGGGAATAACCAACACTTTAGAAGATGGACTCAAAACCCAGAAGGATCTTGACAGTCAACAATAGGCCCTATCCAACAAAATGCAATTTAGTGATGAGAAAAGTAAGATTTTACACAGGTAAAGAAAAACCATAGGTATAGAATAGAGGATGCCTGGCTCAACAGCAATAATTGTGAGAAGGATCTTAGAGTCCTAGTGGACAATGACTTAAGCATGAGCCAGCAGTGTACTGCAGCTGCCAAAAAAGCCAATGCAGACCTAAGTTGCATCAACAGAGGGATAATATCATCATGTGAATTGTTAGTACCATGTTATACTGCACTGGTAAGACACTTGGAATACTGTGTCCAGTTTTGACCACAATACAAAAAAGATGTTGAGACTCTGGAAACTGCAGAGAAGAGCAACAAAGATAATTAGGGATTGGAGGCTAAAACATATGAAGAATGGTTGCAGAAACTGGCCATGTCTAATCTAATGAAGAGAAAGACTAGGAATGATTTGATAGCAGTCTTCCAATATTTGGGGGGTTATCACAGAGAAGAGGGGGTTGATCTATTCTCCAAAACACTTCAGGGCAGGACAAGAAGTAACAGATGCAAACTTATCAAAGAAAGATCCAACCTAGAACTAAGGAGAAATTACCTGACAGTGAGAACAATTAATCAGTGGAACCACTTGCTCCCAGAGATTGTGGGAATCGTCACTGGAGGTTTTTAAGACGACACTGCACAGCCATTTGTCTGGAATAGCACAGAATCTCCAGGAGGTCGGACTAGAAGACCACAGAGTCTCCAGGAGGTTGGACTAGAAGACCTTCAAGGTCCCTTCCAACTCTGTTACACTGCTATTGTATCATTTACAGGATGCAAGCTGTTCCAAATAAAGCTGCCCTTTGTAACTGACTGATGGTGATTTTGTCAGTATCGATGGTGTTCAAGTGGTGCTCCAGTTATTTTGGGATTTGGGGTTCAAGGTACTTATCACTAATAATACTATCTGTGCTTTGTTTTGACATGGTTATTCTATTTCTATTTGCAGGTCTTTGTATTTTATGATTGCTTTTCCAGCTCTTTTTCTTCTATTCCGCTGTCTCTAAGTACTTCTGCCTGTCTGTTTGAATTCTAAAGTCCCAGAGCATTCTGGCTTCTTTATTTTCAATTACTTTGTCTATTTTATGGTTTTACCAGTTCTTGCTTGCAAGCAAATAGCATTTCTTGCAGATCTTCCAATGCACCATTGTTGGTATTTTGTCATGCCACTGTTTATAGTCAGTCTGTGCAAACTTTTTTGAGTAGGTAAGTAGGTGGTCCAGAGGCAGTATTTGCTGTCTATTGTTGTCTTCTCAGTTCTGGCTTTGCATACATGTGTTCTTAAGGCTTGGTTTTGTGGCATCCAGAATTAGCCCCTCTGTATCTGTCTTCAACTTTCTTGCTCTTAGCCATTGCTAGGTCTTGTTATCTGCTCTGCCTATTTTTTTTAATGTACTGGACATACAATACTTTTCCCTGCTATGTCCTTTTCTAGTCTTCATTTGGTCTTTCTTGTACACCAGTTTAGTTTCACCAGTATTCAGTAAGTGTTCATGGTATATTAGCCTCATGCATCTTCTCCAATGTCCTTTCTTCTTCTCTGTCTGGTGTACTTGCAACATTCCACACCCACCTATTTTCATTAATAAATAGAGTCTATCAACACTGCTGTATGAATGAATGGCATGATTTACTGTTTTTATTTCTTTGGAATTCCTATCTGTGGCTTTTAGTTTTGCTGGAGTCCAGTCTACTATTCCAACTTGTAACCACTACACCAGTTAGCAATTTGAAAGTTGTTGGTAAGCAGGTAATTGGTCTGTAGTGGCTTGGTGCAGCCCTGTTGGTTGGATTTTTCATTATTAGGTAGATTTTGCAGATGTTACCCAAACTTCAATTTTATCTCCTTGCTGGATGTTAATAAATGAGTGGGTGCAGAATAGTCAGATGTTTCAACTAAATACCATGCTTCACCTGGTGCTGACCAATTCTGGACTTCCCTTGACCCTTTCTCCACCATTTCTGCTATTCTTATGAGTTCTTTCATTTCAGCTTCATTTTAATTCTTAACCACATTCTTTATCCAAGTTGCATTTTATTGTATTTTTTTGGTTATCCCATAACTGCATCCAAAACCGCACTCTTCCTTCTCTGATGTTGACTGATTCATTTCAACCTCTCCATCAATGAATTGGTAGAAACATTTCTGATTTGACTGAAATTGGAGATCATGCCCATAGTGAGCAATTCAAGCTTCATATTTGCTGCTTGTTTTGGCTATAGCTGTTATTTGCTGCTTTATTATTTCCAGCGCTTCTTTAATCTTCCTTGTTTCTAGGTGATATTTCTTAATCCACTATTCTTTTGGTTTTCTTTTCTTCAGCTTTTCCTTTTTTTCAACTGTTTTAGCTTGCTTGTACCTGATCTTAGCATGCGGATCTTATTTTCCAGCCTGATCTTCCATTTTGGTGGTGCACTGTTTGGCTTTTTTCCTTTGTTGTTGATTTTGTATTCCAGTTATTCCATTATAACTGCCAAATTAAAAAGATGCACCTTATGCTCCTTTTCTTAAAAAAAAACAAGACATAGAGACCATTGGCAATTATGCATACAGATAGTCCTCAACTAACAACCACAACTGAGCCCAAAATTTCTGCTGTTATGTGAGACATTTGTTAAGTGAATTTTGCCCCATTTTTTACTTTTCTTGCTACAGTTGTTAAATGAATCACTGCAGTTGTTAGTTCTACTTGCTAAGTGAATCTGGCTTCCCTATTGACTTTGCTTGTCAGAAGGTCAGAAAAGGTGATCACATAACCCCTGGGACACTACAATCGTCATAAATATGAACCAGTTGCCAAGCATCTGAATTTTGATCATGTGACCATGGAGATGCTGCAATGTTGTAAGTATGAAAATAGCCATAAGTCACTTTTTTCAGTGCTGTTGTATCTTTGAACAGTCACTTTGAACTGCTGTAAATTGAGGGCTACCTGTACTAGTTTGGAAGTGACATACATTGCAAAGTTTTTCTAGAAGAGGCTTTGGTTAATATCAATGTTCTCAGACACATCTCTTCTGCAGATATAACAGGTTTGTAACAAGAGAGAACTAGAATATTTAAATGTATGGGTAATTAAAACCAATATCTTGAGATCCCAAAGTTCTTGGAAAGGAGTATGGACAGGCATGGTCCAATTTTAATTTTATTGTTGCTTTAACATAATCTGTGTAGTTTTCTTCTGATTTTGCTGGCTCTTAGAAAACCACATTCTGGATTAACTGAAATTTGAACACCTATAAACCGTTGTAAAACCTGCAGCAAACTTTGTATCGACTCTTGTAAATCCAGCTCTTTGAATAAACAGCTTGTGTTTTCTTCAACTGTCCTTTCATCCTCAAAGAGTGAATTGAGTGGGATCTGAAGTTATGGCTGGCATCCATTCAAGAATGTTTATATATGCAGCTGTTTATATGTATTTGCATATACCACCATGTCCCCATGTATCCCTGGCAATGGGAAAATATTGAGATTTCTAAACCAAATATTCCATTTATCTCAAAAAGACTTCTGTCACAAAGGAAACAAGTCCCTTCTGCTTGGTAACTAAATGGATGCAAATATGCAATCAGTTGCTTCTACAAAGTAAACTGATGTAAGATGCATCAATGAATTTATCTAAAGGAGATTAAGAAACCAAGGCTGGTGAAAAAGAACAGGCAAGGAAATGAAGAAGTGCAGTGAAGCGTAGCCTGTCAAATATTTTTGGACTATTGTTCTTATAACTACAATGTGTAAATGGAATATGAGGACTTTCATATTTATGATAAAAAAGACAGAAGTAGAATGTGAAACATCAGGACAGAACATCAGGAGAGATTTGTCTAACTGGATGCACTTTTAAATGTGTTGGACTACCCACTTAATTAACATTCACAATTTTCACTGAGCATCAGAGCTATAATTCCAGTCCAACACATCTGGAGAGCACCAAATTAAGTAATGATGACATATCTTCACTCCTGAAGGCCCAAGAAGGAATAGGTGATAGCATGAATGTAGGGTGAAATCTAATGTATGATGAGTACAATATCTGAACTGTAAAATATGGAAGACTGAATGCTTGAAACCATTCAGTAAAGGCAAAGAAACTCTTAATATGGGCATGTTTATTCCCAAGGTGATTTCACCATGAAAAAAATTATTAATGACAGTATCTGTGTGTTGGTAAATATGCCATGCAAATCGTTCTTCCTCAATCTAGTATTCTCCAGATCTCATAATTCTCTCTCAGTATAGTCTCTAACAAATTTGGGAATGGCTTACACAAAGTCCACTATAAAAAAGGACTTTGAGTTTTAGTTTTACATAGCTTTTTGAGATAAGACAGTAAAGGTCTGTTGGTTTCTTGCTGTAGGCATTAGAAATGTTTTTGTGCAGAAGGACATCATAACTCTGATGTGTTTTGAGGCAGACTGAGTCATACTGGAAGAATTTTGTAAGTGAAGAGTTGTATTTGTCTATGCTGGCAACAACAAAGTATATCAACAATCTGATAAATGGCACTTTTTCTTAACACATTTTATGAAAAGCATATGCCTTTTTTTAAAAAAAAAAACATGATTAGTTGAAAAAATATTGGAAAGATAGTTTTAACTCCAGAACATCCAAGAAACAACTGGATATCCTTCCTTAAAATTTACTTATACCTGAATAATAATCATCCCACATTCCAAATAATCTGAAATATAGTATCAATCCTATATCAACACTAATAGGCGGTGGGGCAACTGAAAAGCACAAAACCTTTAGCAGACTCAACCTTCTGAATCCATGACAAACTGGCATATATATTCTTGCTCGTTTTGATGACATTTTAAACTATTTGTAGAATTGCTGTAAGCCCCTCAAAGAGATTGATTATTGGGTGCCAAACAAATATTGTTAATAAACAGTGATGTCGAATTTGCCAGGGCAGTCTTGGCTGGTGTCTTTTTTGGGGTGGGGGGTGGGGGTTCGGTTTTGCCCTTCTATCTAGCCTGCTGAAGCATTGAAGCCAACGCAGACACGCGGCAAAAACTCGACCCCGACCTGATCTGCAAGGGATCAGTGGTGACCTTCGACACACCCTCGTGCACGCGTTCAGGGATCTGGATGAAAGAGCAGAAAGGTTCCTTCCCAGTAATTAACCACCCATTGTCCTTCAGGCCCCTTTGTCGTTCTCCTTCCCTCCCGGACGGGAAAGAAACGAGACGTTAAATTCGTATTGGGCTTCCTTTCCTTTCCTCCCTTCCCCTTTCTCCGGGTGACTCCCTCCTCCCTCCCTCCTGCCAGCATCTGCGAGATAGTCTCCTACCGTCGGCCTCTTCCAGACGATGCCTTTTGTTTTGTACGAGTTTGGCCCTAGTTCTTTATAGCCCAGAGAACCCGCCGCGGCGGGGAAACAGGGGTCTTGAAAGAGCTTGCCCGCCTCGAGACACTCGTTCCTCAGAGTGTGAAAGTCCTGGTTCAAGTATTTCACGGCTTTGGAGTTGGAGCCGAGCCCTTGCGCGATCTGCCTGTCCTTTGCTAATTTAGCGGCAATCCCAGCCATGGTGCCGCTTCCCCGCTCAGCTGTCCTCTCGCCTTCCTCTCTGCAAGGAAACCCCGGCGAGCGGACGGGATTCAGAGCCAAGCTGGCCGAGGGTGATTCATTTCCAGGAGACAAAATAATAGCGTCTCTATGCCCTGGGTGTGGCTGGTCCGGCCTTCACGGGACAGGCTGGAGAAAAGGGGCCGCGAGCCTCCTCCGGCGGCTCCTTACGAGCTCACTGGACGAGGGAGACTGGTGCGTCTGCATTTTTTTACGAATATCAACAAACGATTGGGATCGAAAGTTAACCCCATCTCTCTCTGTTTTCTAAGGTGGAAAAGCGCCAACAACCCCATCCTCCTGGAATTTTACACACAAGGGGAGAGAACATTCAGGTCTTCTATCTATCTATCTATCTATCTATCTATCTATCTATCTATCTATCTATCTATCTATCTATCTATCTATCTATCTATCCCACTCGAAATGACTGGGCAGCATACAAATAAAGCCAATTTCACAAATGATTTATTCTTCAGTATCCTGCTCTGCATAAAGTTTGCATAGTATTAAAGCAATCTTTTTAAAGAGCACAGCTGCAAAAATCTGTAGCAGCTGTAATAATGGCAATAAAAATATAATAAACAAGGCGATAGAAAATAGAAATACCGGTAGAAGTTATAAAAATGCTAAAAAAACCCCCAAAATCCTGAGAAAATAAGAACTTGCTCTCAAAGTACTAACTGTATAAATGGTTCAGTTACTCTATGGGGCAGGAGTAGCATCACTGAAAAGGCCCCTTTTCCTGCCTTGCATCACTCTTTTAGAAGCTCCTTTTCAGTTACAGATACACTGTTCAACCTCTGATCTCTTGCTCCTGAAATCACTGCTATGAGATCCTGTGCATTTCAACTCAGATGTAAGTCTTGGCTTGTGTTAGTACAACATGGTTATCCTTTAAATTAAAGCTTGGTTTTCACACTTAAAAATAACGTTCTGAGTTTGGAGAATATCCTGAAGTAAAAAGTAAACCACATCAGCTGGATTCGCTCAACACACTAAAATGTGATTGGGTTATTTGTGATTCAGTTCTAAAATGCTGAGGAGAGATCATTCTGGAGAGAAAGTATTCACATGGTCACTAAGCTGACACCAAATTTGATGTCAATTAACTAATCACAGTGAAGTGATTATGGAGTGTCTATACAACTGTAACCTAGCCAAAGGCTAAGCCTCCCATCCTACTAAATTATATATAAAGATGCCTCACTGCCTTTAGAGGGTACATTTTCATTACACAATGATATTTGCATGATATCACCTTTGTCTCTTTTCCAGACTGCTAGAGAGGCTGCCTGATTGGGCATTATTACATAGTCTTATACATGGAGGTTTAATGCTTTTCTGGAAGAATTTAGACCTATTTTAAAAAGGCATGTTTAATACTTGTTTGAAAGACTGCTATATCTATATATTTTAAAAGTACTGATGTTCTGGTATAGGGATGGTTGCAGAGAAGTAAAAAAAAAATCAACAGACATAAAGAAGCAGGGCTTTGATCATATGGTCATAAGTACCAGTTTTGACTTCTTTGCATTCTGCAGATTCCCTTTCTTTGCTTGATTTAGATCAGAAAAGAGAACTATAAGCAATTTTCACTGCTTCTGCCAACAGGGAGGCTTTGTGTGGGCATTCTTTTTACCATTTTTATTCCTGGAGGGAGCCGTTTTGCCTACTTCAACTCTATTTTGTGTAATCTCTGGGCTACTGAGATCTGTTGGCTAAAGCCATCTACTGTCAGCACTGAATTCTTCTGGGCAAGATTTTGGAATATATAGAACTTTTTTTTTGGTCTTGTTTATGCAGTATATATTGGAGGTGATTACCCTGTGCTGTATGCAATGTAATCTTATTTTAATGTACGCCGATTAGTGTACATTTAAAGTGACAATAAAGTTATTCTAAGTCTAAGGCTAAACCAACTATACTTTTGTCTGTTATCTCTTTTAGCCTAAATGCCAGGCCATAAGCAAACAGGTGTGAAGTTGGTCCAAGATTGTTCAGTACTCCTTGCAGCCCCTTCAGCACAATAGTGATCTGTCTTTCCTGCTATTTCTAAGTGATTAACCATTAAAGCCAAATTCAAAAATATCCAGGCTGATAAGATGGGGAAATGGAAGAGAAGCATAGGATGAGTTGAACTCAGGTTTGCTAATTTTTAGAAGGTTGCTAGATTTCTGTTCAGACATAGAACTTAACCTGAGTTACAGGTTATAGGCATGAATAAGTTCCATACTGGCAATCTGTCACTTAGGCAGCTTCAGAGCTATTGAAAGGGTCTGTCCCTGGCACCTGTCACTTTTACTCAAACCTGCCTTTCCATACATTAATGATAACAATTGATGACTGTTTTTCTAGCCTGCAGGTGACAGTGCATGGCAGGGAGAACACAGCCAGGGGAATCCACTGTTTTTTGTCTTTGACATATGTCTTAAGAAAACTATAAGAACAGAACCAGCCACCAGCCTCATTACTGAGGTAGAATAGAACTTGGCCTTGGGGCCACACAATTATGCTGGCATACCTTTTTGGCAGCTGAAAAATGAGAGGAATGCACATTAACATACTGATGAGAAACAGCCCCATACAACATTTTTCAGGACAAAGGAGAAGCTCTAGAATTAATCTCTATGCTGGAAAGTTAAGTTTATTAAAAATAATGTAAAATCAGTTATTTCAGTAAAAAGGTGTAAAAACAGAATATATTTTTTTCACAAATATAAGATACAATATAGAATAAAATTCCAGCCAAAAATGCCCTTCTCCCTTTTTTTGAAAGCACATTTATTTGTTTTTACCTTTGCTTATATTCCATCCTCAAAAAAACTCTCATAACTCTCATAAAAAAGAAAGGAACAGCTAAAACCACCACCCACCACAATTCTAAACTAAAACAGGAAAAAGCAAAGCAATTAAGAGATTTTAAAAAAGAAAAGTAATCCCTCAAGCAACCATTCTACCGTATCATTTTTAGTCCTTCACTAGCTTTAGAAACAGTCAGAAAGGAGGCATATAACAATAGTTTTTTAAATAAATACTGGGCTTCAGTTCTATACATGTTAACTCACTAAAAAAAAAGCATATAAGGAACGGCTGCTGGAATTGGATATGTCTAGTTTAATGAAGAGAAGGACGAGGGGGGACATGATAGCAGTGTTCCAATATCTCAGGGGCTGCCACAAAGAAGAGGGAGTTAAGCTATTTTCCAAAGCTCCTGAAGGCAAGACAAGAAGCAACGGATGGAAACTAACCAAGGAGAGAAGCAACCTAGAACTAAGGAGAAACTTTCTGATAGAACAATTAACCAGTGGAATAACCTGCCTCCAGAAGCGGTGAATGCTCCAACACTGGAAGTTTCTAAGAAGAGACTGGACAGCCATTTGTCTAAAATGGTATAGGGTTTCCTGCCTGAGCAGGGGGTTGGACCAGATGACCTCCAAGGTCCCTTCCAACTTTATTATTATTATTAAAGTCAAGAGGTTATAATAGATGAAGAGAGATACATAGGGTACAGGAAATGGACCCTGGTTTTATACATCTTTTTCAAAAACAAATGTGCTGTATCTTCTGATTTCTCTCACATCCCTATAGAAGCTTGTTTTTCAAAATATTTTGGATTTCTTTGATAGTATTTCTTTTTATTATCTTATTATTTTTAATCAATTTATGTCTGCCTATCTTACAACTATTCCGGTTGGCTAACAAAGTTGATTGATTATATTGATTCTGGGATTTATTTGCAGTGTTGCAATGCAATCAGTCTTTAAACCTCAGGAGAAAGGGACTGTGTAGTCAACGGCAGCACATTCATACATACCATGTGGCACTTCTAAGTTTGCATCTTCTCTGTGAAAATGCCACCGAAATTTTCATGGAGAGAAAAAAAATGAAAGCATTATTTTCCCTATCATAAAAAACAATACAAAAATAAAAAACCCTAGAAGAAATGTGCATGTTAAATGAAATAAGAAATGTGTGGAAGGTAGCAAATTTATCACAGGAAAAATAATAACACCTTCTGGCTTTCAGTGCAATTATAGGTGAAAGAGAATCATCTTTCCTCAATGGGATTGCCCCCCTCCCCCACTTGTCCTGGCAGAAGGGGCCTACTATGGATCCCATCAGCCAAGGAATTCTGGCTACTGGGATCCAGAAGAGTCTTTTTTTGCCAAATTGCAGGGAGCCCGCAGTCAGTAGAAGTAGCCTGCAATACTGCATTTTAACCACTGCACTCCCATGCCTCATTCTCTTAAGTTCCCCGAGGTAATAGTAAATGATTGCAAGTCAAACATGAACTTCTTTCCCATAATTTTTTCTTCATTATGTATTGAGATTGTTAGATTACAACTAGGATGACACATCCCGTTAAACCAAAATATGGATAGTTTGGCTTGTGCAAAAACAACCATTCTGGCTTTTAAAGCAAGGTGTATAAGTGGGTGCATTGGGCACGCCAAGTTATATCTGACCACATTCTTTCAGAATGTAGCTAACTTGGAAGGGCTATTGTTACTGATGATAAAGAATGCCATTATAAATGCTTTACACAAATAAATAAAATTGCCACAAAATTTCAAAAATAGTGAGAGCGTGGGATGTACTGCTGCAGATTTCGCTGGGGTAGGGAAGGACTGGAGTGTTTTAAAAGATGATATTGTCAAGAATTTCTACTACAAGCACCTTGTTGGTTGTGATTGTATAATTCACTTATAGGCTTGCGCAGCTGCCTATTAGCATTACTAGCCCAAGACCTTGTAAATCTGTTATAGTGAAGGGACTGTAATAATAGCTGATTATAACATGCAAGAGAAAGGAAGGGTGAGGTTACCAAATTCCAATCCTTTTTTTTTGTATATTTTTTCCATGCAACTGCAACATTCCTGGCATTTTTGAATGCCAGATTTCTTTTTCTAACACAGAGAGCTTAGTGGTTTTGAGGTAGCTAAAGACAGAAGTCCCAGAATGACTACGTAGGCAGATAAGAAGTTAGAATTTATATTTTTTTAGGGAAAAAAATAGTGGCCATTTATTTCAGCAATGTCAGAATGACCTTTTAATGTCTGAAAATTATAAGTAAACTGCACAGGCTGTGAAATGTCAAAACCACCAAGGTTGGGATTTTTCCTGTGCATTTGAAGAGAATTGCAAGAAAGATTGTCAACCTGGCAGCTGCAG